AGCACTGCCGCCCCCTCTGCGGGGGGCTGGTGTCCACCCGACTCCAGGATTGACAAACAGGCACCTGTCACGAGAGTCACAGTGGAGGAGGAAGTGGAGACGGCACCGAGGTGAGTGTCCGCCCCGAGGTGAGCAAAACAGGAGCCCTTGAGAAAGGTCTGCGTTCCCCCAGAGGGCGCAGCCCACGCCCACCCCCACTGACTGTCACGGAAATCAAGAGGAATTGACATAAAGTAGCTTCGGAGGAGGAAAGTGGGGAAGGGGAAGAAAGGAAAAGGGAAAGAGGAAGGAAGAGAGTGGAGGCGTCAAGCTCATGTTCATGAGACACCTCCCCTGTCCCACGAGACTCCTTCTCTCTGACAAGAACTGTTAATGCCGCTGCGCTTCTCCCTTCTCTCCCCCCGCCGCCTGTCAGGCGCTCCGGGAGGCATTGTTCTGGGGGCATGAATGAGAGGCCTGGCAGAGGGCGGCGGCCTTCGTTCCTCCTGGTCCCTGACAGCTACTCCTTCTCACGATTTCCCGGCCCCGAGAACCCCTCCGATCTTGACAATTCTGAGCGCTCCTGCCAGCAAAGAAAAGAGAAATTGCACATTCAGTGACGGAAGGACCCCCGTGGACCTATAATGGTCTGAATAACAGGTAGCTTGATTTCGCTTAAGAATTGAGATACTTAAGATTCATATAAAAGAACTTTGGGATTTAGAGAATACATGTCTTCCAGGAGGGAGAAAAAGTAATTACCCTGACAATTTCTATAAATCAAATTCTATTACTTGGAGGAACATTCTAAGTTCAAAGATGTGCCTCTGTGAGAAGCTTTTAGCGAGAATAGGAGCTGGCGACTAGTCCAAGGCGAACTCTGCAGCCTGGAAGCCTGCGCCTCGTGCCGAGTGAGTGCAGGGTTTCGAAGTGTGGGCTGCAAGCCCCCGCTCCCTTCGATCTGACCGCTCCACGCAGCGGGGAGGTGGGCAGCCCCACTCTCGCCGCACCCCTTTCAGAAATGAGGAAACTGAGGCTCCGTCCGTTTCAGGCTGGTCCCCCTTGGGGATTCGGTGGCAGAACCAGGTCTCCAGACTCAATGGCCCCTCCTGCTGGGGCCCACAGGGGTGCAAGCCGGGCAGGTGGGCGGTCTCCCGCTCTGCAGCACCCGGGTTTGGTTTAATGTTATGCTGTCGCCATCGCGAAATTCTCGGCAATTTTGAACCAGCCCTGCGTTTGCTTTTCGGTGCAGAGCGCTGCACATCCAGCTGCCAGTCCTGCTCAGAACTCCACGGACTCCCCTTCTGGGCTCCCCCCAGATCCCAGAAACACCGCCAAGTCTGGGGCTCCCTCCTGGGACCGCGCAGTGTCCTTCCCCCGCCTCCAGGTCCGCAGCGTCTGAAGGGCTGCGGGATTCCAGGCCCCCGAAGGGCCTCCCATGAACACGGGCAGCTCCTCCTGGGGCACCTCACATCCCGCAGAACAAATCAGTCCCCGACTCTATCAGTTCATCATAGTCAAAATCCTCTACAATGAGTTCAATTACAATAAGAGGCTCTTGGGTTTTCTCGGATTCAATGTGATGAAACCCACTCTGAATACCGGATCCCTCCTTGCTCCATAGCTGGGTCTCTTGGTGCAGTTCCCTGCCTCTGAAGGTCTCCAGTTCTTGACTCAAAAGAAAGGAGAGAAAGGCAGGGAGGGAGGGATGGAGGGAGGAGGGACGGAGGCACAGAGGGAGGGAGGGACGGAGAAAGAGACAGGGGACAGGAATGAAGAAAACCCACCTCCTCCCCGACCCTCCCAGCTCCCAGAGATGCCTTGTAAGTTTCAAAGGCTCAAGACCATCGCAGCTGGTAGAGAAGGGCAAACAAAGCATGGTCACTTCTGGCCTCCAACTCTCAAGAACTGTGAGCAGTACAATGCCACAAAATGCCCCTCTGAAAGCAGATGAGGCCAAGCGCTGCTGCTGGCCGTGGCTGCTCTGCCCCTGGAATCCTGCTCTGGAACCCCTGCGGCCCGTGTGGCCGGAGCAGAAAGCTCTGCGTCCCACGGAGGAGAAAAGAATGGCCTGGGGCAGCAGCCAGCTCTCCCCATGCTTCCTCACCGCCTCCTCCCAACCGCCTCGAAGGCTTTCTCTCCCTCCGATGGTCCCCAAATCCCTCTTCTTCCCACGTATTCAAGCGGCCCCTCTCCGCCCCCACTTGTCTAGCTCCAAAAGTGACTTTAGATGGAGTCTACTTCCTGACCTGGAACACCCTTTGTCCTCTCTAGAGATGCATGAAAAGTTGCCGCGTAACCGGGCATTGAACGCCAGTGAGAAAACCCCACAAATCAGAGCAAACGCTGAGGTTCTTTATTATGCACGTGACAGCACTCTGTGAGTGTGAGCACAACGCGCGGACTTCTCGCCAAGAGAGGGCCTTGCCACCAAGCCCGCCGATGAGTGTGTGTTTTACAAATGTGATTCGAACTCTACGGAATATGAGCTTGGATTCCGAGCACAAGTCAAACTCTTTACACAGTGCAGCTGGACTTGTTAACAGGGCCACGCAAAGCCGCCGGAGGAGAGAAGAGTGTCACAATAAATAATGGCTTCTCTAAACATTACAGGAGCCTGCCAGCATTTCGGTCCCTTCTGTCTCCTTGGGGTGGATATTCACTTTGAGACCTGCGATGACTTAGGAGGAGCTCATAGAGAACTTAACACTTGGCCCCGGCCCAAGCTCCGACATTCACCGCCTGAAACCTCCCCACGTCATGGCCTCGGTGCAGCCCCCAAAGCCAGTCCTCCTGTCTGCGGGGGGGGGGGGGGCCAGCGGCCTGCCCCCGCGATGACCTCGCACCCGCGTCCCGCGCTCAGACGCAGCCGTCTCAGCATGGTCTGGAACCGCACAACCGAGTGAGCGGGAACCCGGGAACCGGCAGGTGTCACAGCTCCCAATTATACAGATAAATAGGAATTTACATAATTTACAAAGAGTTTGTGTTTGCGGCTTATTTTGCAGCCATTCCCCAAAGACGCACATTTGTTCGCAAGAGCAAATACGCCTTGGCCTTGAGCTGGGCGGCCTCTCCCGCAGCTCCCTGTGGACGAGCCCTGGCGGCCGGCCGGAGTTCAAGCCCCACGTCCACTCATTCTTTCCCTTGTCATAAACACAAAGGTTTCGTCTTTCTTTTCCTTCCTCTTCTTCATTTTTTCCCCATCTGAGATACATTCTTTTGGTGAGTACCAAGCACAGCTGAACATTTCCATCTAAACCCTCTAAGCCCCCAGCTCGGGAAGCCCCGCGCAGCGGGTTGGCCGCCGGCCCCGCACCCCAGCTCCCCGCGCTGCTCTAGGCCAGGGTCCGAGGGGGCTGCGGTGGCTATGGGATGGACATGTGCTGACCTCTGCGGACCTCACTGGGAGTCCACGGACTCTCCAGAGGAGTCACATTGAAAGCCAGCGGGCCTTCCAGCACGCCCGCGCCTCTCCAAGCCCAGTCTCCTGCGTGCAAGCCAAGCCAAGGGGGCCAGGCCCCAGGGCGCATCTGGGATCGCTGTCCCCCTTAGGGAAACTGGGGCTGTCTGGATGGGGCATTCCTGGGGTAGGGGTGTATCGTTAGGTGAGGACCTGGGGTGGGTTTTCTCCCCCAGGCAGAACTCATTCTTTGTCCGCCAAGAGGTGGAAGTGTGATCGCTTTGCAGGGGCAGGAACGGAGGTGTTCCTCGGACCGAGCGGCGGCAGGCCTGTGCCCCCCGAAGCTCCCGGGGCAGGGGGCGGAGCGGTGGGCGAAAGCGTGGGCCCCTCCCGGGCAAGCCTTCGGTGGAGGAGATCTAGCGACGACGCAGGCTGCCTGCCCTAGATTTCAACCTGCCTTGGAGAACGGGGCAAAAGGAAAAGAGAGGTGCGTTACAGAAGGAGAGGCCGTCCCTGGCTGAGAAAGGCGTCCGCCCCTCCCAAGTCTAGCCCGCCCCCATTCGGGACTGAGTCTCCGGCCAGGCTCCGGCCAGGCTCCGGCAGTTTCCCTGCCTGCCTGCACCTAGGAAGGCGTGAACGGAACACCAGCAGGGGCAGCCCCCAGGGGCTCTCTTTGGTTATCACAAGCTCAGCAGCAATACGAATCTGGGGGTTACTAGCTCAGAGTCTTGCGAGGAAGCATGGGCCATGGCTTATAGGGAAAGACTTTTTCTGCCCACATAAAGCTTGTTACAGGACCCTGTGCCCCCCACCCCATTCTCATGGTTTAAACATTCGACAGAACAGTCAGCAAAACGGCAAAGGCAACACCTTCTGTGCTGGGGTCCTCTGGCATCCTTGAACTCACCCGCACTCCCCTACCCCAGGACCTTTGCACATATTGTTCCGCCACCTGAAATCCCCTCACCCCATCCTTCTGGCTCACCCCCTCTCTTCCTTCAGATCTTCAGGCTAATGCCCCTGTCCCCCAAGGCCACATCAACCTCCCCCCTCGCTCTCTACCTCTGCCTGCTTCCCTGCTGTCCCGCGCGCCTCACTCAGTATTTCACGCATGTGTTTGCTGTCTGCCTCCCCCACTATGGAAGCTCCATGAAGGCAGACTCTTTGCCTCATTCCTGCTGTGTCCCCAGTATCAAGGACAGGGCCCGGCATGTCGCAGGTGCTGAACAAATGCAGGAGGCAATGAATAAATGATGTAACGGATGGATGGTTTTAATCACATCCCTTCTGAGCCGAGGGGAGTTCGGGTGTGGGGTGAGGAAGAGGGAAGGAGGAACGAGAATAAAGAGGCCAAGCAGGGACCAGCTGGGGCCTGACTCATGCTCCCCGGGGACCTCTCTGCCGCCCCGGCCCGCCTCCGCCCTCTCCATTTTTATTATGGATGCTGACAGGCCCCTCTCTGGGCGACGAGGAGCGATCCGCCACCAATTTGGAGAGCTCCTGTTTACTGAGGATGATTTAATCTCCCCTCGATCAGTCCCGGTAGGAACCCAAGCCGCCTCCAGGCTCCTCTTAGGAAGGTAAATTACCATCCCGTGGCGGCCGTGTAGGCGGGTCATTAATAACGAGTCCTGATTGACAGAATGACAAATGCATCCAGTGTGGCCGCGGGAGACCCTGAGGGCCTCATGCGAAAACGACCGGCGGGTAAAAAAAAAATAAAACGAATTTGGGGGGCCACTCTACTTCACCTCTGGCCAGAGACAGCAGCTGAAAAGGAACGAATGCTCTGTTTTGGCGTGTTTTTTGTTTGTTTCAGCAAAGACCGCATGTGGCTGTGGGCCCCGCCCGTGGGGACTCTGAGCAGCAGCGACCGGCTTGTCTGGTCCAGGCCCAGGGAGCCGCAGGGCTGGACATCAGCACGCTAATGCCGCAGGGATGCCAGGGGTCAGCTTCCAGGGCACAGGGCGGGCTGACCCGGGGCGGGACAGCCTGCTCCGTCCCCAGAGACGACTTCCCAAAGGCACCGCTGCCTGTTCTGGGGCACCCCCTGCACAGCGGGGCTCCCACTGGCCGCCTCTCAGGCCAGACGCCACCCCCACAGGCCCCCTGAAGGCGAGACTTCCGGGAGCGCAGCATCACCTCCTTGCTTGCAGGCCTCCGTCCGCCCCGCTGACCAGCGCCGCCCCTTCCTGGCCCGGTGTTTCCGTGGCTCCTGCGGTCCTACAGGGAGAGAGCCGGTTTAATGACTCGCCCTGCATTCCCTCGCGGCTGGTTTTGCAGGGTCCAGTGGCCACTTCCTCTGCCCCGGGGGCACGCACAGGGGGGCACCCCCAGGACAGCGTCTCAGGAACCGTCCCTGAAGGCGGAAACCCACCGTGGCCGCATGGCCACTCGCTCCTCGTACATCCAGGGGACATGAAGGGGCCAGGGCGGTGGGCTCTGCGGTTTCCTGACAGCGGATCTGGGTCCCTGACCCCTGCAGCCCCCCCGGCACGGGAAGCCGACCCTCCCTGCGTGTTTCTTGTGCGCGTACGGCCGGCACCTACAGGCCCCATCCCGCCACCGCTTCCTCGGAAGGGGTTTTTCTGGGCGGCTCCGCCTGATGGTTGGTGAACTTGGCCCAAAGCAAAGACAATGGGCGTTAACAGCAATGTCTGTTAAGTGAAATCCAACTTAATCCGCCTCCAACCAGTCAAAGCAGGACCAGGGGTTCACTTGATTCCACAGCGACTCACCAGCTCCTGCCCCGCAACCGCAGCAAACTTCAGGGTCTCAAACTCGGGGGCTCTGGGGCCACAAAGTGGGACGATGGGAAACACAGGTGAGTGGGTCCTGCACGCCCCCCTCACACGGGAGTGGCCCCCACTCTGCGCCGGCCCGTACTGGCCGGGGGGAACGTGAGGTCGGTGGGACCCCATGGTCCCATTGGCTGTTTTGAAAAAGCTCAAGATACGCCTTTGGGAAAGAGGAGAGTGGCAACTATTCGACTTTTAAAGTTTGGCAACGTGTTGAGGTTTTGGCAAGGCGCTGTGCAAGCCAGAAGAGAGATGTCTGGAGACCAGACACGGCCACAGCCGTGCTGTGGGCTCTGCTCCGCAAAGCTGTGCAGGGATGGGGTCACTCTCTCAGAGCTGAAGGTCCCTGTCCCCTCTGCTCTGGGTCCCCTGCCTCCCCGGACGCAGGCGCAGCAGGGTCAGGGCACGGCCACCCCCTGCACCGCGCTGCCAGGCGTCCCCAGCCTTGCCTGCCCCGGGACAACCGACACCTGGACAGGACTCAACCAGACGGGGGTGGGGGGTGCGTACCTGCCGATGGCCAGGGTCCCAGCGCAGAAGCGCACGCAGGCCGCGTCGTGGCTTGCCGCACAGGCGCAGCGCCGTGTCCACTCCGAGGGCTGTGGGCTCCGTGGAAACGGCCGTGCGGACCTCCTGCCACGCACCCCTCCTCTGTAGCTGGACAGTCCATAGGGCACAGTCCGCCTGCGAAGCACACAGCAGTGTCAGAACCCCGGCTGGAGGGGCACAGGGGAGGGAGCTGCGAGGGCAGCAATGTGCCGCCCCAGGAGGCGAGCGCGCTGGGGCCGGGCACCGCGGGTGGAGAGGAGCCGGGGAGCCAGGGGCTCGGGGAGGAGCTGACTGCCTGCCAGCCGCCAGGCTCCCGGGGAGCTGGGAGGAGGGGGGTGGCAGCGTTCGGAACAATAAACGTTCAGGGCCATCTTTACGCCCAAGGGCACCCAAGCCCTTGCTCTCTGGATCCGGGAGAGGCCTGCCCGGCAGCTCTGTGGGGCGCAGGGCGGAGCATATGCTTAACTCATGCGCGCTATGGAACACCCTTTGGGGGGTGCATTATTAATAAGTCAACCTACATGGCCCAAAGTCACTTCTCCAACAAGTCTCGGTTTTCCTGCCAGTCCCCAAATTGACCGACCGCCTCAGTTTCTCCGAGCCCCACAGGGCATCTCGCCAATCATCCACCTCAAAGGGGGTTCTGACACGCTCTCTGCATTGCCAAAGTAACATCCAATTGAATTTATTTTAATTTGAAACACACACTATGGAGCTTTGTTGGGGGGGTGAGGACACAAAAAGGGGGGCAGTCTGATGCCTGGACCGAACGTCCTCTCTGCTGGGCGGGAGCCAGTGATGTCCCCATGTAGAGTATCACTATGTCACCATGCTGGTGGCATTCGCTCGGGCGGAGGTAGGCCCAGTGGGGAGCCGTCCGGGCTCCCCGACTGGCAAAGCCTGTGGGGTCCAGTCCTGTTCCGCATGTCCCCTTGGCTACAGACCTCATTTTCGCTCAGGAGTGGGAGATGGGGGTGGGGTAGGCAAACTGCAGGCACTGTCGGGAGGCAGGGTTGGACGGAAGGTATATTTTCGGGCCGCGTTCAATCTCTGAGTGTTGACGTGAAGCCCAGTGCCCCATTACTCGGTGAAGATCTCACACAAGGAACGACAAGGCTCCCCTTCTCGCATCGACAGCGAGACCCGCCGTTCCGGAATAGCTGTCAGCTGGTCGCGCGTCTCTGCACGTGGGGCCGCTCACCCTCCGTGAAAACTGAAAATCAGAAGTGTTTGAAGTAAGGAAGCAAAGCCACGTGGTGTTTGTGAATGGAGACGTGCTAAGCGTTTTGCAAGCAGCCTGTGCAAAGATCTAACATGCAGATGAGACTGATTTTTCAAGAAAGTTTACAGAGGCGCAGGGCCCCTTCCTTTCTCACAGGGCGGAGGCAGGGAACCCTGCCCGCACGCTTTGATGTGTGTGCTCACTGGCCGACCTGGGCCTTCCCTAACGGAAGTTCTAGTTCCCATGGTGCCTCCTGCCTCCCATGGGCAGAAAGCGACAGGCTGTGGAGCCACCTGACAAGCTTTTCAGTGAGAAAGCTCTATCCTTGTATCCTTGTAGGTGTCAAAACACCTTGGAAGCTCGGTCTTGAACCTAGAATGCTGAGGGTCCTCGAGTTCCGTGCTGAAACATGGCAGCCCAAAGGGATTCGGCGCCCTCTCTTTCATCCGGCTCCATCCCACATAATGTCGGGCGGGGCTCACCCACTCCCATGTGGACTCACCCTCAAGCTCCAGCCACCCCTCGTCCTGGGCTGCCCCGTAGGCCTCGGGCCATGTACCTTGACCCCTGCTCTGTCCCTGGGTGTCAGACGCCAGAAGTGGGCCTGGGGATACTTGGGTAGCAGATTTCAGGATCCTGAATGCAGAACATGGTCTAGAGGGGACAGCACATGGCTTTTCATCCCAGAGACTCCTTGCAGTGGGGTTGCAGATATGGCCGAAGAAGGGGCAGGGTAGCCCTCTGGCCATAGGGCCCAGGGCGGGGGGCTTCCTCAACTGGCTCTAGGGGTGGGCCACCAGCTCCTCTTTGTCCTTGCCGTGAACTCAGCACAGGGTTGGACAAATGGGCGCCTCTGACTGAGCAGCCGGTAGTTAATTGTGAGATAATCTAGTCCAACGACTCTGGATTCCTTTCAGCCTAAAGAGTTCAATAACCACAAAATTCCATCACGAAGAATTCCAACATTAGCCAAGCATTCACTATACAGACACATATATATATGTGTGTGTGTGTGTGTGTGTATATATATATATGTATATGTATATGTATGTGTGTGTGTGTGTGTATAAATACACACACACACACACACACACACACACACACACTCTACTAGGGTATGAAAGCAGGTAAAGGAAACAAGTCAATACACCCAGAAATGTGCAAGGTACACAGACTGCAGAGAAGGGTTATCTGGTAATTCCATCATTATGTTGTAAAACACTTACATAATGGCGACTCCACCCTCTCAACAGTTTCCTGACCGAGGGAAGCGTTGTCAGACGGACTGGGTGAGACGCCGCACTGCCTGGAAAATCCTTACCAGGAGTCAGCAGTAATGTAATGTTAGCTACTGTTGTTGCTCCTTTGGCCTGGGAATTCAAGTCAGTTGTATCAGGCAGGAAAATCTCTTCTACCAGGCCTTCGTTTGGGATACGTGACTAAGCAATAAAGAGAGGTGAAGGTAATAAGGAACTGGAGTGCCATTTGGCACGGAAATGCCATTCTTTGCCATGCTTCCTTTTGGCTGGTCCATCATTCAGTGTGGTCTAATAAGCACTTGTATTTCACTAGTCTGGGTGCCCTTTGACAAGTGATGCTTTTTGATTGGTGAATTGGAAAGACCTAATGGTAGAACCATGAAAATTCAGTGAAATCAGCCAAGAACCTTTGCCTGGCATACTCTCTGCCCAATCGTTTTAGCCTATAGGGTTTGGGGAATGCAATTCCTAATCAAGATAGGCAGCTTTTCAATCTGTTAATGTTTCATTTTTAACTCAGAGCTCTATATAAAAGACAAACAGATGATATCAATCCAGATGCTCTTAGACAAAAGAAAACACCCCTCTAGCATTCCTACAGCTACAATGTCTAGTGTTGTGTCTTTGTTTGATAAATTGCCCCTCAACGTACATCATCAGAACATTCATTATTTGCTTGGTGACAGTGATGTCAGGGCCTTATTTATCACTGTGTTCCTTTTTTGCCACTTTTCCTCAAATGTCACATATAAACGTTATTAAACATTAACCTTCTGAATCTCCCATATTCATTCTTCATCTGCAGCATTATACTGGAAGAATGTTATTTCTCTCTATAAGAAGTTTTTAAAAAAGGAAAGCTGACTTCTTCTTCTTCTTCTTTTTTTTTAAGATCCTGATTTTAAATTCAGTGTTGCCTTTTCATAAATGAATTAATGATCTCCATCTTCCTAATTAGGAGACTTGCTTCTACACCTAAATTTTTGAAAGGAGAGGCACAGATATTCACAAAGGTAGCAAAAGGAGCTTTGCTGGTCAAATTGTAAAATCTCAGGAAAGTTCAGCAAACTCATTTCCTCAAAAAAACAATTTCACACACACACGCCCATTGAATAGCATTCAACAAATACCTGATGAGTGAGCCCTGGACTAGACTCTGGGTGAACATATCCTTGAACAAGGCAGACAAGTGGCCTTGGACACACACAGTTTGAATTCAGTTGGGAGGTCAGCCAACTGGCGTTTTATGGGCTTCAATCAATCAGAAGATGGGCTTTCTAATCTGAAAATTCCACCTAAACACTCTGACTTCCAGCTTCCCGTGGAGAACCTGAAGTCATGCGAACACCAACCCAGCACCCCAGCACTTGCTGACCGTCCGGCGCTCACAAAATCATTGCTCATGACCACTCCATTTTGCCCCAGGCCCCACCACTCCTAGTAGCTTGACACTTGTCCTTCTTTGCTCCCTGTTGTTGCCTGTCTTCCCCTTCAGGGACACCTAAGTTTACAATACCTGGTCTAATGGCTTGTCCTATATGATGAAGCCAGACAAATCCTGTGACACAGTGACAAAATTAGCTCTTGGTTCTATTTTCAGAAATAGAGTTGCTTTCCATTTTTGAAAGCCCAAGTTCTGATTGAGAGTCTCCCCAACCGATAGAACATTTTCACATTAGAATGTCAAGTTGGCCATCTCCCTCTGTCGGTCATTTTTCCTCCTGAAATGGGGATGCAAAGGCAGCCCTTCCTTTGGACAGAAGGCAGGACTCTGCTGAGCAGCCCTGGGGCCCCCGCAGCAGACAGGCAGGAGGCGGCCCAGCTACCAGGCCCGGCAGGGATCGGACACCCCCTCCCGACGTTCCCCAGGGTAATGACCTCCAGACCCCGGCGCATTTCTAACCAGGGCTCAATTTCAGACTCTGTGAACTTCCTTCCTTGGCAGCCACTGCTTACCTCCTCTTGAGCTTAGCAATACCTTCTTGGGCAGGGTCGTGTGAATCGCCTTCATTGGCTATCTTTGTAACCTTAACCAGAAAAAGCAGCTAGCTAAGAGTTTCGTTCTAAAGTAAGGCAAGATGGAGCCACTATCGGAAGAGACTGAATTCAGCAGCCCACAAAAGCATCCATTCACTTCCGCCAACGTCTAGGGGGCCCAGCTATGCACAAAGGCAAGGAAACAAGCCCGGGGACAACTTTGGTTGTTTTTGTCTCTGGAAATCCAACCTCTGTTCTTTGCCATTGTCCGGAATTACCCCTCCATCCTCGTGTGAGGTCTTGGTGAGACTGTCAATCAACGTGCCTAGCCTTCCCCTGCCTAAGGACTCATCCGGTGACCCAAGCTGGGCAATCGGACCCTGTCTCTCCCCGGACAAGCGGGCAGAGAGTCACTGAAGGTCAGAAAGTGCTCGGAGCTGCCGTTGGCCGGGGGGCCCTCCTGCCTCTCTGCCGGATGGTGCCCCTGCGTCCCCAGTCCTGTCCTGGTACCTCTCCGTTCTGGGCCTGGAGCTGCTCCTCCCCCGGTCGGTGGGTGGCCCTGTGTCTTTCCAATAGCCCCTTTTACGCTGTGCTGGCTGGGCTGGGTTTCTGCTGCCTGCGACCGGGGAGCTCTAGCCAACCCGGCCCTCACATTCTTGAGACGGGTGCAACCAGCA